AGTGAAATGAGGAATGAAAAGTTGATTAGGTGGGTTGGGGGTCCCACTTGAATGATGTAAAAGAGTTTTAATGGCTTTTGGTATTTGTCACATGTTTATGTATATATATATATATATATATATATATATATATATATATATCCTATGTCAGATGGAAGGAAAGAAGCAAATGGGTGGCTGCCGAGAGAGTGGGAATTGAGAAAACAATTGTGATGATTCGCGGGGCCCACTGGGTGACTTTTTGGGCAAAATTGTTTTGCCTTCACATGGGTTCTGATGGAGTGTTTATGCAATGATGTTGATGGAAGCGTATGGTGTATGCTAATGTCATATTTGTCTGAGGTCGGTGAATTTGCCTTATATATTTCATGTGTGTGTGGACTGAGTGAATGCAAAGATAGAAAGAAAAAAATTTAGAGGAATACAGAGTGAGCCGAAAGAAGAAAGAGAGAGACAGAGAGTTTGAGAACACGAGAGAGTTTGAGAAAAGAGAGGAGCCAAGAGTTTGCAGAGGAAGCTGGGAGCTTGAGGCTTTGATGATCCAGTGAGGAATTTTTTTTTTTCAAGGTAGGGGTTTCTAAGCTATAATTTCTTTGCCCTTTCTGAATTTTCTTTATATAAATTATTGAATTGTTCACTAAATTATGAATATGATTATGGTTATTTGAAATCTGTGTGTAAATGAGGCATGATGAGGGTTTTTTTTTTTTTTTTAAATGAATTGTGAGGAAATATAAATGTTTAGTTGAATTATCTTTCTGCTCCATTTATTTATAAAGTTATATTTGATGAGAATGAGAATATGACTTGGTGTGAGAATTTATTATAAACTTGCGAGCATGATGTTAATGAAATGCGTATAATTATATATTGACATTGGATAACATGTGACATTTCATGCATTTATCATTGGGCATGAAATGGGGGGGAAAAAAAAAAGTTGTTTTATAAAGTAATGGAAAATGATTTTGGGAAAGGATTTTGAAATTAAATGGTTTTGTGAAAAATTCGGACGCCAGGGGGGTACCGAGGGTCCGTGGCGTTAATGTAGCCTAGAGAGATCTAGGGAGATCGCCCTAACGTGGTTAAGCTATTTAGGCCCCAAATGACGCCGTGGGGGTACCAAGGGTCAGGGATAGTAGCCAATTCTTCTCTCGTGTTACTGAGGGGTTACTGAAGGATGGGTTACATTAATGGTTTGAAAAGTGAGGAAATGGGAGAGATTTTGAAATTGGGGAGCAACATTGCATGACATTGCATCTCATTGCATAGCATAGTTCATTACGACTTTGATCCGTGGTTGTTGATTTCGTTGCTAAGTTTCTCCCCGGCATGGCATGACCCCGTTTCCCTTGTTCCCATTCATTGTTTAGATTCACGGGGTCATAAGAGGTGTGTTTTAGGCGCTTCCTACTGAGCTTTATGCTCACTATATTAGTTTAACAATTTTTTTCAGGACACGGAAGGGAAGTGGTGGACGACGCTCCTCCACAGATTTCGATGGGTTAGTGGACTGTTGTGACATATTTTGTAGCTATAATCTCATCTTATTATTGTGGGCTGTTGTGACATATTTTGTAGCTATAATCTCATCTTATTATTATTATTATTATTGTTTTTATTTTAAAAACCCTGGGATGACACGTATATTATGGATTGACATAAGAAAATACGGTAGTATCATTAGTTGATCTTGGGTTCGAATAAGGACCTGGTTAGTGATTTGGACCCTCGGATCCTGGTCGTTACAAATTTGGTATCAGAGCTTTTTATTAGAAAATTTGGGGCGTGACAGTTTGTAAGGCTTCTGGATGCTGGTTAGGGTTGTTCAGTTTCTTCCTTTTGTTTTGGTAACTCTCTTTTGGTTGCTTGTGTTTAGCTTAGCCAGGTTTAGTCTTTCCTATTTGTATGGTTAGTGTTCTGGAGTGAGTTTGTTTGGTGCTCTTCCTGGGGTAGACCTGTCAATGGAGCGGATCCTGATCTGAATCCGATCCGATTAGTCGGATATGGATTGAACAAAAAATCCGATAACTCGGTTACGATCCGAATCCGATAATCCGTTAGCTTAATAAATCGGATATGGATTATGCTGATCCGATCCGATTGAAATTATATATATAAATAATTCTATATATACAATTATTTATCAATAATTTTACACACATATATATCAATACTCCTATTAGAATTGTATTAGAGGTAACCCAAAAATCCAAAATAATAATAATGTTATATATAAATATTGTGGTGTTCTCATTCACATGTTAATAAATCTCTCAATACACATACTAATAAAATCATACTCTTTATAATTATATATATTACTAAATATTAATTTAATCCGATTTCAAATTCGATCCGGTCCAAGTCCGAGCTAAATATGATATGGATTGGGACATTCAGTCCGAGAACCCGTTAGTGATCCGAATCCAATAATCCGTTTGCTTAACAAATAGGATATGGATTTGATCGATCCGATCTGAATCCGATCTATTGACAGGTCTAGGTATGCCCCTTCTATGTATGTATAGTTGTTCCCCACCCCCCACCCCCCCCAAAATAAATATATATATATATATATTAAAATTGTATGTAATAGTATATATTTGTGAGATATGGGGAGAAAATGACAAATAGAGAGATACGAGGAGAAACAGGGCAATTGAATCATGAGAAGAGCTTCTAAGTACCCAATAATGGCAATTATGGATGGGACTTTGATGCTTCTAATCGATCAATGTTTATAGATTTATGTTTTTGCTGGAGCACGAGAGTAACCTGTTCTTCGATTTATACTCTGCATAATCCCAAAGTTTGTTGGAACTACTCTACAGGTTGAAACATAAAAGGTTACATTCATGTGTATTTCTTTGTAGATTAAAGGATAAAAATTGATTGCAGTTTGTAACACTATGCAAAATGTAGATTGCTTATTCAAGTGCATTTTTAATTGCCTGCTTTGATGGAGTTCATACGCATTTGTGGCTCTTTTGATGGCATTTCTATGCCTCTTGGTAAACCTCAGCTAGAAACGTGATGATTTGGGGTTTATGTCAAAATAGAAATGGGGAAAAAAGTATCAGCTTCTGAAGGGACCAAAAAAACTTGATTTGGCTTGTAAAAGCATTTACTATTACAACAAGCAATGAGACGTAAAGCATTCATCGTTTGACTATGGTTTTTGAGGTTGGGGACGAAGAAATGGTGCATTTGTGCAGCGATTCCACTTACTGTGCTGTAAGTGATTGCGGTAGAATACTAGGTGATTGTAACTTGTAGATTTTTTGTAAGACTTGTATCTAGTGTCCTGTTTGATCATATTGTTCAGCTTCTTTTTAAAACTTTGCAAGTATTGCTCTTTCCAATTCTTAGGCTTTCGAGTCAAAATGTCACTCAAGGAGAATATAATTAATGCTTTGCACGTATAGCTCCATCCACCCTACACTTTTGGTCAAGACCTTGCACTCCTCAAAATGATTCAGAATTTCATGCCGAAGGAAAACATGAATGTCCAAACCTAAGTACTAAGCGGATTTCAGCAGTTCTCAGGTAATGGATATTGTTGTTCGTGGTTATTTGTTAGGATCATCGGATACAATTCATAATCCGTTTGTAGAGGAATTATTATTGCGGAAGGATATTGCTAAATATTTTTTAGACTTCATCTTTGTGTAGAATGTGATTATTTGACTGCCAATCACTAAAGGATTTGAATCACCAAAAAATAATTGTGCTCGAACAATTCCTAACATTTACTTTCAGTTTGTCAATTGTGAAGGTGAAAAACTTTTATGCCTGTTCAGTAGCCAAGTATTAGACATAACTTGTTTTCCCATTATTGCTCCGATGAATACTGAATTATAATATCCATTGTCCGATATATTTATTTTTGATCAATTTGTTAAACTGCCACGAGTTTATCAGTTTCATCAGCAAATTATACTCTACTTAACTGCTAGGATCATATTAGGATTTAGGTATGGACGCCATTTTCAATGACTATTAGACTGTTTCAATTGAAGCATCGGTTTCGTGAATTAGTACTGTATCTCCATTTATCTGTATATATTGTTCACCTGCGTAAACTGGTTTTGAGCATTGAATAAGCTGAGTGGAACTGATGCTGCAGTGGTATAATTTATAGCCGACATCCCACGACAATCAGTTGAGGTAACATAGAAGAGAGAATGAATCTTGTACTTTGTTTTGGACGCACATTTGAAGAAAGATTGTTATATCTATCATTTCAAGATTTCGTATATTTAATCGGAGAACTATATATTTGCTTTTTCGATATTTAGGGAGGCTGTAGCCAAGGCAGATGCGCCCAGTGCAACTCGAGTGAGGAGGAGGTCAAATAATGAGGCAGAGTGGGAAGTTGCTAAGCTCGTGAGAAGAAGATATTGTAGCTGTCATGCAGTGAGAACCAAATGTTGCGTTATCAACTTGTGATTTCCAATGGCCTTAAAAGCTCATTCACAACTTTATATTGCAATCAAACATTTCTCAGATATATGTTTCTTTGGCATTATATGGCAATATGTTTTGCTTTGTTGATAATAGGGGCACTGTAAGAAATGATATGTATGTATATATGTATGTAATATGGACTGAGAGTCTGAGACTGAGGAGAGAGAGATGATGGCATTGTACAAATCGTACTGTAGGCAAAGCTAAAATTTAATTTATTAAAAAAAATTCATGTTCGGGAAAATGGGGATTTTCAAAATAGAGTTATTACAACAAAACATGGAGAAAAAATTTCGTGTTCGGGAAAATGGGGATTTTCATAATAGAGTTATTACAACAAAAAATAAAATATTAATTTTTAGTAACCGATAACAAAATCGATTCCCAAACCCATATGGGAAAAATCAGAGACTGGCAGTTATATAGTCCTAGGCCTTATCAATAAGCCCAACCTTATCCAAATTAACACAACACTGGGCCTCATCTCTGGCCAATTTTGTATCACAAAAACTTCGGCTTTAATAATTTGGCTGGGACCGCGCGAACAAACTCCCACTATCACAAATTATGACATAGGCTCCACTTCTTGAATAGACTTTAAGCAAGCACCCCTCCTGAGTACAATGGAGGTTACTAACCTAGACCATGAGCCTTTTTGATCACCCATAGATTCCGTCCAAATAAGTATGTTGTTAGTTACGCTTTCAACTCATTATATAGGCCTGTCTAGATAACTCGAATTTATGTTTTGTCGATGTGGAACAGCAGAAGCAAACAATGTACCCCAACCTCAAGATAGACTAGACAGACAGACAGACCTTTTACTTTGATCTGATACTTGTTGACTCTTGAATGCATATCTGATCTTTGTTAGCAATTAGGACAAGTCAGTGAAATTGATGGTTGATGAAGTGAGAGAAGTTGGGTTGTTTGATTTAGCAGACACTTCTGCGAGATATGAGGAGAAAATGGCAACTAGAGATAGGAGGATAAACAGGGCAATTGAACCTCTCTGATGAAGATACGCAATTCCCTTTCTTTGTTTGATTATTTCTTGAAGTAGTGTGTGTTTATTGTTTATATATTGGCTGTTAAGGTCCAAACATTGTTAAGAGTATGTTGTGGAAATTTCACATATTTATTGAAAAATATATAAATACAACATTCATATGCAATGATTTAATGAAATGTACAACACTACCAATGTGAAAAATCTAATAACAATTCTTTCATTAAATTGAATAATACATCATTGAACAATATGGATATAATAATGAATAAGAACTGATAAATAATTCAGATTAATATAATAATAGAAATTAAGAATAAAAACGACAATAATAAAATATGTAAGAAAGAGCTGGCCTGATTGTTGAGGCATGTGTAAATACATTGACCTAAAGTTGATAGTCCTCCCCTTCGTGCGGGTATTGGTGAAACTAGTCAACTCCAAGATACAACCCAATCAGCTCACAGCGGCGTCTCCTCCATGTGCATGACCATAGGAAGACTAGGTTCAAGTCTATACGTGTCTCGTTGCCCATAAACTCAATATATAAAATATTATATAATAGAATATAGAATATTTCTATATGAGTCTCACTGATTCGTATATCATCATTCATATATACTCATATATACAAATATTAGAAAGATAGAACGAATATGATAGGAGTATATATCTCTCCATATTTTAGATCAATGTCTCTACCATATATCACTCTACAGCCTATCACTCTACCACCACTACCATACATATATATAGATAGTAAATTTGTAACGTCTAAGATATATTATGATAGAAATAATGGTTCAAATAATATACTCATAAATATTATTTAACTTTTGTAATAATGATTATGTAACTCATATAATAATATATATAATAAATATTATATTAAATATTATTTATGTTTTTTTAATTAAAATATCTATAACAGTCCCCACCTATTTTAATAAAATTAAATAAGTAAAATATTTTTGAGTAACTTTATACTATGCAATTAGTGTAGGTGCTTTCCGGGCTTGAACCTACATTTAGTGTGATAGTCTTCATTTGAGGAACCTGAATGAACTAAGTCTTGAATTCGGTCCCTTGAGCCAAACTTTAACATACCACACACAAAGTATTGACGATAGACTTGGTTTGGCGAGTTAGCACAATTAATGGCCATGCGCTGGTATTTTGATTCTCATGAAAGCTTTAGGGAATAACCCAACTCCAGTGGTCGCGGCCTCACGACGACTTTCACTTAGGTGAATCCTCCAAGAGTGTATGTGACCTATACCCTGCGAGAGTATGCTCGCCTTGAATTCATTCAGGGCAAAGCCATTCCTTGACGTCGCATTACAACATGGATGCCATAGGGATAAGTAGGAAAGAATCTCCTCGAGAAACCTCCTAAAAATTAAATAGTGTTGTCAATGAGTCACGCGGTGCAGATTGTTTCTACCCATTGAACCTTTCGTCATGTGATTAAATCACCAATCAGAAGGTCAGGTTACTTCCGTAGGTGACTCCCTTGGGGCTTAGGCCCATCCCCCTCGACATATATAGGACTATGTCCTAAGAAGACTTTTGGTCTTTTTTATTTTCTTTATTCACAACCCAACTCCTTTCTTTCTCTTTTTTTTTTTCACAAAATAATTCATCACTGATAATACCTCATTTGAAAAATCAGGGATGGATAATTTGTTAGCCTATCAGGATGCATTTGCTTTTCCATTATGTTAGTTGCAACATTGCAAAGTAGCAAATTAGGAAGTGGTAAGATTGAGAGAGATGCAAGCACACACAAACACACACACATATACCATATCGGATGAGAGAACCCGGGCAAGCCCATGCGATCTCTCTCCACCACACAAAATTTTAATTTTATTAAGTATGACCGGCCATGCGAGCACACTTGCTATGGCAAAGCTGGTCCTATACAATATTACAATTTTTCGTTCCTTCTTTTCCTAATTTATATACACTCATATAAAATAAATTTGATGATGATGAACTGGTGATGACAGCATAGTGACTAAGCTACCAACGTTGTGGGTTGAACCAATCTCCACTTAACCAAAAGACCTTTTCTTCTTTGATAGTTGGATTTTTCGTTATCAAACCTCTGTAGTATGATCAACAAGGTCCTCTGACAGCAACAATGAATGGACCAGTGGCTCTGTCCATAGCTGACAAATCCAGCTAGTCACGAGTCTACACATCACCCATTATCATAATCTTCTTATGTGCTCCTTTAGGTTGATTTTGCTTTGCACCTCGATCCCATTTCCTTTTCTTATTCTTGTTCTTCAATAACTGAATTTTCCATTGTAATCTCAAGGTGCATGCCTCGGTATTGTACCTCGTGATAAAATCATATATTTTTCAGTTTCCATATTCTACAGTATAAATGCGAGAGTAAAAAATGGCATTTGATATGAACTTTATAGTGTGATAAGTTACGTGTGTATTAAAGAATTAAGGACCTAATTACCAATTAATATAGACATCAAAATGAGATGTAACGTCTCACAATTAAAACTTAAAATCCCACCATTTGTCTTATATATATATATATATTTGCCATATATCAATTTTATAACTGATACACAACTGACAATTCAATGTGTATTGACGGAGTGGCTGTTCCTACACGCCAAATGGATGTTGTGAATGTGCGGTTCAAGAAAAACCTTTTGGGTCAAGTTTAAATTTATAAAAACCACTACCAACACTACTACCAAAGTAGCAAGAGTGAGTAGGTATCGTCCTAAGGGATTGTGGGGATCGAGCAATGTCGTGGAATCACAATTAGGGCTAGTAGGTCGAGTGATCAAACAATTGGTTGGTTAGTTGATTAAAGAGCAACTAAATTAAACTAAGTGATAGCAAAAGAATGCAATTAAGAATAAGTAAGAGAGAGAGATCTTGGGGTTTAGAGATCACCACCAAGCAATGCATTTCTATATCATTGACAAGTGATTAATGAGAGCAAATGGTGTGTTGCAATATTGGTGTGTGTGTGTTTGGTTGATTCAACAAGTAAGGATGACTAGTTAAGTATGTATTGTCTAAACATCATGTGAAAGGCACAATATATCTAAGCAATGAAGCATATATTGTCTAAATAACATGTGAAAGGTACAATAAATCAAAACAAATCATTAATCTTTTCATTAAGCTCACAATCCAAATATAACATAAGGTTAGAGACATATGCTAATTGCATTCAAAAGCTTGGATCATCAAACAACAAGCATAGATTGTCCTCCCATTTAACACTACACTACAACTACACTACATCTACAATACTAGCATGAAAATAAACTAGGTGAGAGGCACAATCCATCAAGAGATAAGCATAAACCATCAAGAGAATCACAAAAGCATTCCTTTAAGCACTATGTTTTGACAATCTCCAAATCTATAGTATCAATACACATAGACATACATCAATAACACAAAATCTAGAGACAAGCACATGAACATCTATTCTAGCATACATAGACATATGGATAGAATGAAATGACCAATTGGAAGCATTAAACTACATAAATCATTGAATAAACAAGATCTATATATATCAAAGTGTCAAAACATCAATTACAATACTAATCCCTCAATAATACACAAGATTAAGATATAGAAAGTACGCTTGGGGCTAACTCTAGCCCCAAGAGGATGTCTAGCCACTCATGGTGATGATGCTCCAACCCTTAAGGGCTAATTTCATGGTTGAAATCTGCTCCTTGTTGATGTACAAATCCAATGGTGTCTCTAGCCTCCTCCTCCTCTAAACTTTCTCTCCAAGAGATGATATGAAAATAAATGTTAGCTTTTTTTTTTTTTTTGTAAAAACAATCCTTATCTTTATATAGATAGGTCAAAATGACACCCAAAATGACCTGGGGTCGTGCACACAATATTCCCTAATGATTGGATAAAAGACAACTTTCAATGAGATGGAATTTTAACTTTTTCGCACTGGAGGAAGTTCGATCGATTGAATCTTGAACTTGGATCGATCGAAAGTAAGTAAGATCGATCGAACTTAGGTTGGATCGATCCAATTGGCTGAGCTTTTTGGAAAAAGACAAATCCGAGATATTTATGGGAAAAGGACAAAAGTGGTTAGTAGGTGGTACAGCTATGGATATGATCAATCATTTGAATAAGGACAAAAGTGTTCGATCGATCGAAAGATGGTGTTGGATCGATCGAACTTTTGGAACTTTATGCTTTTGGGTCAAGACTTGGATCTATCTTGAAGTGCTAAGATCGATCATTGTTCGATCGATCGAACCTTAAACTTGGATCGATCGAACTTTGCTGCTTGCCACCTTTTGCTTCATTTGCTTCCTTCTTTCTCTACTTTGCTCATTTCTTTGTTTAATCCCAGAATTGCTTCAATTAAGCTCTTATTTGGCTAAGTTAGCTTATTTTCGGGATAAATGCCTGAAAAAAGAAATAATACGAAATCAATCTAAAACGGTAAAGTAAGATAGATAAAGGTACTAGAATGCCTAAGCTTAAAGGGTTTAAATACGCACTTTTCAGTGCTCATCACACCCCCAAACTTAAATATTGCTAGTCCCTAGCAATGAACTAGAAAGTAAAGGAATGAAATAAACAACTATACAAGTATGAATCTAGAAAATAATAAATGGATAACGCCACTTTCGTAAGGAACACGA